GGGCGCCGAGTCGAGCACGTGGTTCGGCCAGCTACTTACGGAGGCCTACAACCCGAAGAAGACGCTCAAGCAGATCGACGACCTCAGCACCAAACGATCCGGGGAGATCTACAGCGACAGCAACGGCCTGGTGACGCACATCAAGTCTGACGTGGGTCAATCCACGGACAAGCGGTTCCGCATCGTGGCATCGATGATCAAGGAGACGGTGCACCCCAACAGCCAGCTGAAGCTCTCGTGGATACCTACGTGGAGTATGGTCGCCGACGCGCTCACCAAGATCATGGAGACCGGAGTGCTCCTCGCTTTCTTCGGGGCCAAAAAGTACAACTTTGGCACTAGGCAGCCGCACGCCGCCATGCTTGCCTCAGTGCTGATGACATGTCTCGGACGCGTGAAGGCACAGCATCCCCCACAGGAATGGCAAGTGCCGATGTCACATTGGATCTTCTACATGACATTCATTGCGATGCTCAGTGGGATCATGATTGGATTTACATTGTTCGCAGCGCTGTTGTTTGTGGTGCGAAAGGAGATATTTGGGCCAGGCGATCCCAATACCATCCGGATCGGGACCATCAACAACACCAGCAATGGGTCCAAGGCCGACCACACCGGGCACGCGGATACCTTGCCCGGAGTATATCCAGGATGGGATGGACGATACCTTGGACGTCGCAACAACGTACAGCCTACCATTCCCGAAGACGTCGACGGAGATGTCTACATGGAGCCGCCGATGATTGCCGTCGCAGCCCAGAGTTCATCATCAGCAAGCGGATCGGCAGCGCCAGCCGCACCGCCCCCATCACCGGACAGCTTCGCGCAGGGAGCGAGCTCTGCGCCATCATCGCCGATGACGGTTCACAGTTCCTCGTCAGCCAGTGTGGTTTCGTGGAACGGATCGACGCCAACGGTTTCGCCATCGGAGATGAACGCATGTGTGGCCGCCGAGCACAACATACGTGTGGGACACAACACACATAGTGTCTACATAACCTGCAGGACGTGCAGGAAGCATGCGTCATGGCTTCGCAGGAATCACATGACCCATGAGCCAGACTTTTCGAGGATGCACAATAGTCTGCGCTGGGATTTACAGAATAGATGGAGGCAGCTACAAGGGTTGCCCGGCAAGGCGAAAACTCAAAAAACGATTTCGTGACGCACGCCGCCGCTCTATAACTGGCACCACACTGTGTGGCAGATTACGTTAGTCCGCGTCGTTCTGTTAGCTCGTTTTCTTTACACCTGGCGCCACATCGTGTGGCAGACTACGTTAGTCCGAATTGTCTTACCAGTTCGTTTTCTTTACATTTGGCGCCACATCCTGTGGCAGATTACGCTAGTCCGCATTGTTCGAAGCTTCACTCAGTGTGCACAATTTTTTCTTATGTGGTGACGACCACACTATTGAGATTTTATCTTGATAAGATAGCGCTATTTGAGTTTTGTCGCATAGCGATCGGACTCGCGCCGCTGTTTGCTTTGAGAATTTATGTATTTCTTGCCGGTGCGTGTAGCAACACCCGTTAAATGCCCTGGGGCAGCCGGATAGCATGCCGACAAGGCCGTTTGCCTGTGTTTGTTTTGGAGTGCTCTGATTAATGAAGTGAGCTGCGATCGATGATCGTCGCTCGACGGCGCCGCGAGCGTCAATCAGGAGGAGTGTGATTCCCGCTCACTCCCCGTGCCTTTCCTGCTCCTTCCCAGCTTCCCCGCTCTATCTCTCACGCCCGCCTTGTCGCCGCCATTTTGTTTCAAACTAGGGCCCTTGGCCTTAGAGCTACGCAGAGTGCTCGCCGCGCGATCATTCGACAAACGATATCAGCGATATCCATATCACAGGTTGAACGTCCCACGCTCGCGAACTTACCTTGAAGAATGTCCACCAATTTGTGCGCGATGTCATGGTCATGTTCCTGTCCCCGATATGTACCCTTGATGTTTACCCTTGGAAGTTTCTTGGAGAAATGCCGATACCGCTGATCCCAGGACCTCTCCCAGGGTGCGTTCAGACCAGAATTTCGAGGCGAGCCCAGCGGTGGCGACGAGGCTCAGGACGCCCAAGAAGGTGACAACGAGGCAAGGGTAGCAGTAACGTGACCTTTCCCTTCTCTGAGTTACTCATCCTTGTGGTGCTGACAGAACGTCGAAATGCCAGAGCCTTTCATGGAGAAAGAAAAAACTGTATAGGAATTCCGCGCGGATTTCGTAGATCTGCGCTGGACCCCTGGCGGCGCCTCCGACGCCGCCCCTGGCGCGCGCTCCACGCGCCAGGTAGGGAGATCCAGCGCCGATCCAAGAAATCCGCGCGGAGCCCCGAAAGTTTATGTTTCGGAGGTTGGGGAGTGAGATCGCCGTGCAACGGAGACCCCCAACCGGGAAATCGTTTCGTTTCGTTCGTGTCGTGCGTGCGGGCGAGGCGAAGCTGCGTGGGCGCGCGAGAGGAATGAACCCGCCGCTGCTAGGGCAAAGTCTAGACAAATGATTTTCGCCCTCCCGCCCGTCCGACGGTGGCTGGCGGTGTCCCGTGGTGTCCCGTGGTGCTCGCCGTTGCTAGGGCGAAGTCAAGACAAATGATTCTCCCGCGCCCGCCCGTCCGGCGGTGGCTCGCGTTGTCCCGCGGTGTCCCGTGGTGCCCCGTGGTGTCCTGTTGAGTGAGATCGATGGTGAGATCGACAGTGAGATCGATAGTGCGATCGATAGTGAGATCGATACTGAGATCGGTGTGGTGCCCCGAGGTGTCCCGTGGTGCCCCAAAAATTGAAATCGATATAGAGAGATCGACAGGTGTCCCGTGAATCCCGTGGTGTCCCGTGGTGTCCCGTTGAATGAAATCGAGAGTGAGATCTATAGGGAGAACGATAGTGAGATCGATGTGTTGTCCCGAGGTGTCCCGTGGTGTCCCGTGGTGTCCTATGGTGTCCCGTTGAGTGATATCGGTCGGAATATCGATAGTGAGACCGATAGTCAGATCGAGAGGTGCCCCGCGGTGTCCCGCGGTGTCCCGTGATGGCCCGTGGTGGCCCGTGGTGTCCCGTGGTGTCCCGTTGAGTGAGATCGATCGTGAAATCGATAGTGAGATCGACAAGTGTCCTGTGAATCCCGTGGTGTCCCGTTGAGCGAGATCGATCGTGAGATCGATTGAGTCAGATGTCGGTTCCCCCCTCTTCCCCCCCCCCCCCACACACACAAGATCCGCCTACCCCTTGTGGGACTCTCAGCGTGTGAAATAGTTCCCCCCCATAACCCCCCCCAAAGGACCCCAAACCGGAGATTTGACCCCCCCCCTCGCCCGGGACGAGCGCACCACGAAGCTTTTCCGGGCCCAAGAGGGCCTCAAGACGGGCCTAGAAAGCCCCAAAAGGCATCCGAAACGGCACACCTCCAAGACGGCCCAAGAGGTCCCCAAGAGGCCCCAAGAGTTGGTAGTTCGGGTCGGGCCTCCCCCCAGGGTCTGGGGTTAATGGGTTCTGATGGCAAAAGGGCCATGGGGTTTTGATGGGGCGTTTTCGTGTCGTCGGGCAAATGAGAATTCGTTGATGAGCAATTTTCTGGCGGCCCACGGTGCGAGAAACCAGCCATGAGGTTTTGATGCGGCGATTTCGCGTCTTTCGTCAAATCAGAACCTATATATGGGCGGCTCTCCTGCAGCCCGTGGTCCGTCGAAACAGCCGCGATATTTCATATTGCCCTGCTTTAGCGGCGAGCGGGGATGGCTACATCGCGGTGATCACAAGGCAACGCGCCCACCGCGCAGGCTCCTCCCTGGATTACAACGGCGAGCGGAAGTAGTAGAAAGCAGGGTGTGATACGGGTGGGGTTTGTGATCAACTTGTGAAAGTGGGCGGCTCAAAGAAACGCTCTGGACAAGGCTCGGGATGGGGCCGTTGCTGCAAGTATGCGCCCGAACATGAGCACACACTGCCGCGCGACGACCGAAGATACCTACTTCCGTCCTACAGCCCTTCTGGGCGATTTTCGATCTAGGGCCCGTGGATCCCTGCAAGGGGGCCCAAACAAACAAACATCCCGCGGGCGCTGGGGGGGAGACATCATCGAACATATGCTCGTGAGGTTCCTGAGTAATTCGAGGGGCGAGGGCGCAGATTGGGCTGCGGGCAATGATGAAGCTGCTCCCAGGGGTTGGTGGAACGACAGGTTCTGGTTTTGGCTAAGTTCAGGGCCGCCACGTCGAAGGGGCGCCCGACCGAGACCACGCAATACCTCATGAATTGATCCACGCACCGACCTACTCTAAGATTCCTACGGGGCGATGTCCGCTCTAAGGTTTATGGGTCCCTGCTGCGAGGTTCTAAGCAGTATACGTCCCGCGGGCGCTCGGGGGAGACCTCGTCGAACCCTCGAGGAGACCCCAAGAAGCCCCCATCAGCCATAAAGAGGACCCTAGGAGACCCCCAAGAAGACTCTGAGAGGTATCCCAAGAGCCCCTCACATGAATCCCAAGGTGCCCTGACCAACTAGATCACTTCCACGATAGTCGCAACTTCTGACTCGTCCTCGGGGCTTGCGGATTGGCGCAAGCCCCTTGAATAAGTCTGGCAGGAGGGTGCATGGCGGAGGGGGGATCATGATGGGACGATCGTTGTGTACCACGTGGCCATGGTGCTGATATGGCCGAGACGTGAAATGTACACTCGCTCTCGCACCTCGCCCCTGCCGCTGCCGGCGCTTCGTCACGGCCGCCGCCGCTACAACGCACTTCGGCATCATCGTGCTGCGTCGCGGCAGCCGCGCACCGAGTGCTTCTCTCAAGAAGCCGTGCCCCCGTTCAGCACCTTGGCCAGCCCGTCAGAAACCTTGTCGACGATCGGCTTGGCGACGTCGTCCTCGCAGAAGGCGGGCGAGTCGTGAACTGTGCCCCGAAAGGTCGTGGGAACCTCTGCCGCGGTGTCGGGCGTGAGCTTCGTCAAGCTCTGCAGGGCCCTTGCCTCCCGCAAAGTGGCGCGCGCGCGCGCCGCTGGCCTTCCTTGAACTCGATCTCGAGCTCCGCGAGCTCGCTCTTCTTGCCGTGAAGCGAGGCGTCGTCTGCGAACGAGTCCAGCTGCTGGGAGATGGTGTTCTCGATTTGCCTCAGTTTCGTCGTGATGCCCGTCTGCTTGCGCAAGGCGCGCTTGTAGCAGTCCTGGAGGCAGTCGAAGCCGTTGGGGTCCGCTGCGCTCTTGGGCCAGTGCTGACCTGAATGATCCAGGAGGCCGCCTGCCATGCCGATGAACTCCCTGATCTTCGCCACCGGTCCGCGCACCAAGTTGCCCCAGTAGGTGGGGGAGACATCTACAAGCTTGGCGGCAGTCGGCAGTGTCGTCATACACTGCGCTGAACTGTTTCCCGTAAGCCTCGAGCTCGGGGAGGATCGCGAAGCCGTCCATGGCGGCCGACTTGTCCTGGCCATCGCCTGGCGCACGCTCAGATCCGTCGGCGGTGGCCTCCGCCGCGCTCTTCTTCCAGACCGTCTCCTTACACCTGCCAGCGGTCGCGCGCAGCTCCTGCTATGCCTGATGAGCGCCGCGGCAAGGCACTCGCAATGCCAACTGCGCCGAACGGGTTCCCAGGCCCCTTTCTCGACCCTTCCACTCCATCCTCTATCACCGCCCCCCTCCAACATCAACCCTCCGCCCGCCCCCCAAATCCCCGCCCGCCCCCCCTTCATGAAATGGGCGCCCAGGAAACCGCACAGCTTAAGTTGGCGTTGCGCGCCCAATCGCTGCCTCCGAGACCCCAGCGGCACACTCGTCATCCTGATCCCCGTTCGTCTGGTCGAACGTGCCCCGAGCCTTCAGCACCTTCGCGAACTGGAACAGGGCGTCAATGCGAGTCGTAGCTGTCGCAAGGGAAGTGATCGCGGCCCCACTCGCCTCGATGTGGTCCACCGCGAGCGGCCAAGCAACGCCGAGGAGCTTCAACATCTCATCAGCGGCGCTGTCAGCCGCGCAGTCGGGGCTGACGGCGTCGGCGGGCAAGGCAACGGAGCGCGACGCGCAAGTATCGATGCACGCGATCATGCTCGCAACCGTGTTGACTCTGGCGAACTTCATCCCAATGCACTGCTGGCGAGCCGCGCGCACGGCCGAAATCAATTCCTCGTTCTCGGGAGCCAATGCCAATGCACGGCACGCGGTGGCAAGTGCATCCCCTTGGGCCGCAGACGCAGCGGACCCCGCATACCCGCGGAGCTCAGCCGCCAACTCTTGAAGCTGAGTGAGGTGGGCCGAGCCCGCTCCCCTGAACTCGACCGCCTTGCAGATGAACGCCTGGAACTTCGACCCCATTAACTTCAACGCGTCGGGGGTGGGCTGGTCGGGTGATGAGTCAGATGATGAGATCTTCTTGACCCAACTCCCCAACGACTCGCAAATCGCCCTCAACAAGTTGTTGGCCCCACCCGTGCGTAACTGGTTGCCCCGCTCGCACAAGCCGCCAGATACGGCCACGTAGTTGTCAATCGTGATGTCGCTCCTGCCCAGCAGCTCGGTGGACTCCTTGACCGTCTTGCCGCGATTGATGTCGCTGTGGCACGCCCTGTTGTACTCGGCGAGGCAGTCCTTCAGGCCCTTGCCGAACGTGAAGACGACGATCCTCCAGTCCTCCTCGCCCCCCTCCTCGCGAAGGAAAGCGCGGGCCTCCACCCTGCAGGGGCAATCCATGATGGGGGAAGGAGACGCATCTAGCAATGCCTTCAAGCTCTCCGAGAAGACGTAGAGCTCCTGAGCCACTGACTTTAGCTCCTCGGGAACTGCGTCGCGTAGCTTATCAGATCCAACATGCTCGCTGGAAGCCTCGGCCACCTCTAGCAATTCATCGGCGTCGGCCGCGCGCTTCGTGGTCAGCGGAAGCACGACGTTGTTGATGATGAACTCCCTGCTCACCTTGGCGACCTTGTCGGGCTGGAGCCCGACGAGTGCGAAGGTGGGCTCCTTGACCGAGAACTGGTCCCAGATGAACCGCCTGTCGCCGGCAATGGGATGCAGATGTTTACTTTATCCGTCATCGACGTCGTCTCCCTGACAGCCGCCGCGACCAGCTTCATCATAAAACTGAAGGCACCGTTAATCTTGCAGTGCTTCAGGCCGCCCAGCAATTTGAGCCTGGCCTTCCTCTTCATGGCGTCGACCGCGTCCCCGCCGAGGGTGCTGCATACTTCTATGAGACCCGCCAACCTCGTCTTTGATGCCATCGCGTTTCCATTGTTCTTCGGGTTAATCTGGTGAGGGCGTAGATCTTGTCCCCAATCCCGTGATGCTGCCCCTTGTTCAAGATGCGGCAGATGTCGATGTTGGCCTCGAGCTCCTTGAAGCGGATCATGTCGGGGTCGTCCAAGCCCAAAGCCACAGTGCTCTGGCCGCACCTCAGAGGGCCCGCGCTCGCGCTGACAATCGACTTCTCCTCGGCAAGATCGTCGTGCGCAGCGCCCGCTACACCGCCAGTTCGGTCTGGCATCGGAATGGCGGGAGAACCAAGCGGCGCGCTCCCCGAGGGCGACGCGGGGCCATCCAGGCCACAAGCAGCGGCTGGCGAAGGGCTGACGTCGCAGATGGCTTTCGGGCCAGGGCTCCGACCAGCCGCTGGCGTCTCAGCCTCCTCGCAATCGGCTGGCGCGCGGGGGGTCGACGGCACAGGAGCCAGCAATCCCTCGGCCCTCGCTGCCCCGACGGCGCGCTTCTTGACCTCCGAAATGGTGTGAACAGCAACGTGTCCACGTAAGGCAGTCGGCAACAACTCCCTGGTGTACTTACCAATCGCAGCAGCCATGCTCGAGGCTTGCTGGTCGCGGCAAAACTCCGACGCCTGCAACGCCCACTCCGAATGAGACCCGTACGTGCTGGACCACTTGCGAACCTTAACGTAAGGCTGAGACGGGTCCACCGCCAATACGCCTGACAACTTCTCCGAGTGGTGCTCGTTCTTCAGCTCGCTGGTGCGCTCGCCAGCGTCCGACGGGACCAATTGCTCTGCGCCTGCGGGGGCGAGATCCCTCTTGCGCTGCTGCCCGTTGATCAAGAGGCAGTCCGAATAAACCGTGAAGCCCGCGTCCTGTTTCAAGCTCACGTCGCGAGGGCCAGCGGGGGCACAGGCCTTACCATCTGAGATCTCACATGTTGCTTCGAATGCCTCGACCAGTTCCTCGTCTCCGTTTGCCCGTGCGCGCATGTGTGTCCACTGGTGGTCCAAATACCACTGCACCCTGCAATACCCATGGAAATGGTAGCTACACCCGTGCATGAACTTAACAATCGGCTCCCCAGGCATCTTAACATCTGGAAACACATTCTCCTCGCCCTCGACGCAGCCGCAACAGCCGCACATGCCGGGCGGTCTTGGTTTGCCGATCGGCGTGGAGCTCACATAGCGGATGAGCAGCGGGCCGACGAACGGCTTCGATGATGTCCCAGTCGACGCTGCCGCACCCTTCCTCTTCCTCTGCTGGGTACCGCTAGGTCCGCCTCCCCCAACGCCTGCTCCCCCGCGGGCCTTATTCCCCCCGTGTTTGCCTCTGCCTTTGGTGTTGCCCGCCGCGCCGTCCGCATCGGAATCGCCAGCTGCGCTGGCCAGAGCGACCTGAGCCTGCGTGCGTTTCACCATCGCCGCGGCTGCGCAGACTGACAGGCGCGCCGCGTGGCAAGGGCGATGCAGCCCGTGTACCAAGCGCGATGGGTGGATGCGACTTTGAACCAAAGTGGCCGCGCGGTGCGGGAGGGTTGAGAGGGGGGGAGTCGGTGGTTGCACGCGCTTGTCTGGTACACCGCCCATCGACTGACAATGCCTAGCCCCTGGTAGGCGGCGCGCGTGGGCGATGCTGAAGGTTGATGCCACAACGCGCCCGTGACTCCAAAGGCCTGGGCGGCGCATTGCCGCCCAACTGGAACAACCCTTGCCACGAGCAGAATGCTGTTGCTTGTCCTTGTCGTTCCTGGGCAGCCGTGCGTCTCGGCGTTCCCAATGGCCCGCGAAACAATTGCCCGACGAAGGCCCGTGCGAGTTCCTGGAGTGGCCCTCCGAATCCCAGGAATGCCCTTGAGTGCCACAGGAGGACCCCGAACGATCCCAGGAGAGCCCCTAGAGTCGCTGGAGAGCCCCGCGAAGCTCCAAGGCTGGCCCCACGTCTTCAAGAGGGCCCCATGCAACACCTCAGGAGGGGCCCCGACTGTCTCAAGACGGCCTCGTTGGGATTCTCCAGGTGGCCCTTCCATGGTGTCGGGAGACCCCCATCAAGGGTCTCAAGAGGGCACCTTAAGGGCCTCAGGAAAGCCCAGCATGGCCTCAGGAGGGCAACCATCAAGTCTCAGGATGGCTCTAGGGTCTCATGCAAAGGGGCTCATTGGGCTTGCATGGGGGTCACGCGCGGCGCAGCGACTGTGGGTGTCACGATGATTGCAACGAGGATGGGAGGATGAGGGTGGTTGCAGACGTGAAGCGGGCGATGATGATTACGAGAGGAGGGGGTGGACAAAGGGTGGCTTCTCGGACGATGAAGGTGGCGAGGAGCAGCAGCATTGCGAAGCCTAACCTATTTTTGATGAGGATGATGCTAACGAGGACGAGGGGGTGACCACGTTCGCATGGGGACGGAGTGGATCGAGGGTGGCAACCCTGGCAAGTACAATGACGAATGATATGACGATGGCGGTGATGAAACAGGGGCCCTTGTGGACCACGAGAGCGAGGCGGGCCATGCAAGGGCCGATCGGCCATGCTGATGTGATTGACGAGGCAAGGAGAAGCGCTGAACTGCCCCCCCCCCGCGACCACTGCGACGACGAGAAGCGCGCGATGGCGAGAGTGCCGTCCGCGCGTACTGGTATGGAAGCAGTGCGCCGTAGCTAATGCGGCCTATGCTGTGCTGGCCAGCTCGTGCATCGCTGCGGCTACTACGGCTATCTAAGATGATGGCGCTTTGCCGTTGGGCAAGCCCGCGCTCGCCATGTCTTCGGGGTACTCTGGCGCACGGGGATCCTGCCCAGCGGCACCTGCGGCTGGCAGTCCTGCATCGGCCCCTCGTCGTCCCCCCCCCGCTGCGATAATGGGGCGGGCGCGCCGCTGCTGCTGGAGGCTTCAGAGGCACTGGCCTCGGCGTCTCCTGGTGCAGCCCCTGGCGCAGCATGCGGCGGCTGACCCTCCATCGCACGGCCAGTGGCAGCCAGGCGCTCCTCGATCTCAGAAAAGGCTGTGAAGACCACCTTGACGGAGAACGGCTTCGGCTTGATCGTTTTCCACTGCCCGTATACTTTGGCAATGCGCCTTGGCACTCCAGGCTCGACCTTCTTCTCGAACGTGCCGGTGCCAGGGAGAAACATCGCCCCCATTGCCTCCAACTCGCAGGCAGAGCGTGGACACGGCCTGGAGCGCTGCCAGTGCACCGAGCTGCGTCGAGCCAGTTGCGGCAGCCACCTTGCGGCGCAACTCTGACGGCGGCAGGCAAGAGTGGCCCGTCATCTTCCAGACCTGCGCCTCGGACTTGCCACGGGGTCTCTTTTTCGTCCTGGGCATCGCTCGTCTGACGGGCAGCGGCGAAGGCCGCGAGAGTCGCACCAACATATGAGGCTTGAACCCAAGATTAGATGGGCACGGACGAGGATTGATCCGAAGCTGGGGCCCTGGGGGTCCTAGGGGGGCCAGTATATGGGGCCAGAATACCGAGGCGAGATGACAAAACAACTTGCCACACAATCGGGAGTCGAGACCGCCATTCCAGACCGGAAATGGGAATGTCGCGAAGAAAGGGGGCAGGGGGTAACCTCGACGGTAGCGGTAGGCGCATTGACGCCGTCGCGCATTGACACGCACTAGCATGAATGGCAACGGTGGCGAACGAGATTCCCCCAACGGCGCGGCGCGTTCAATCCGAGCGCCTGGGCAAGCGCGGACAACTGCTCACCTGTACGAAATTTTGCTGCGCGTGCAATTTTCGGGATCCAGAATCGCGGGCGGGCCCGAGGGCCGAACAAGAAAAGAACACATGCGCTTGCACTTCTGAACCAACCAAAAGCACGCAGCCGCGGCGAGCCTCGAGACGCGCGCAGTTGACGCGGAAGAGCGCAGGCGCGCAATCCTTGGCGCGCGCTATATGGCGCACGCAGAACGCCGCCGCTCCCGCAAGGAAATTCGAAGCACCAAAGCACACATCGGGCGCAGGCGGCGGCGCCAGTCGCGGCGTCGAGAACGCGCAGCCCTCGCTCGGGCGGCCCAGCGCGCGTAAAATTGCTGATGGGGGCTGGCGGCGCTGGCTCCCCAGGGAATTGCGCGGCGGGGTCCAGCATCGCGCGCGGGGGCCGATGCGCGTGGGAGGGGCAGCGCGCGGCTGGCTCTGAAGTGAAGCGCCAGGTGATGCGCCAAAGGACGAAGAACCCACGCCGCGCTCGGTGGATTGGAAGCGGTCCTCGGGCACAGTGCTGGCAGCATCGCGCCCCAGCGAAAATGCGACGGGGGCGGCTGGGCGCGGGGCGTGCGCGACGCGCGCGGAGGCCGCGCGGCGTTGCTGTGGCCGTCGAGCGGCGGAGCGCCAGCGCGCTCGAACTCGCGCGCGACGGGCGCGGCCGCGGCGCGCAACCCTTGCGACCGCCAGGGTCAGCGGCGCCACGCGCTCGCGGACGACGCGCCTTGGCGAACCTGCCGCATGACCGAGCATCGGTCCTCGGCCAAAGCCGTGCCGCCGCGCATTCCGCGGGCGCAGCGGGTGCCGCCGTTTCCGCTCGTCGGGCAGCGCGGCGGCAGGTTGCGTCGCGCTGCTGGCAATCGTGCCACCGCGTCTACTAGGCGAAGCAGGTCCACTCGCATTGCGCCGATAACCAGCGCGCCGCCCTTCCCCAGCCCTATCGCACAAGCGCGCTCCAGGTAGACCCCGCGCTGGTCACTGCGGACACTCGTCGGCCGCGGCGCGCGCGCGGCCCGTGGGAAAATGGTTCGCTGCTGCGGCGCGGGCATAGCCCCGCATCGCGAGGCCCGCTTGCGCGCTTTGGCGGCGAAACCCCGATGTGGGACGACGCGCATCCGCGCCGCGACCCGGCCCCGCGCCAGGCCAACACCGCCCCGCCCGCAACCGCCCAGGGCAGCGCCGCGACTGACCTGCTGCCCCCCTGCCCTGGAGCGCCAGCCAAAGCGGCGGCGCCGCGCGCCATCCGCGGTGGATGGAGCGGACCAGCAGGGGGGCTGGTCGGGCCGAGGCGCGCGGAGGACCGACTATGCGGGCGCATTCGGGGCGCGGTAGATTTACGGGGCGCCGATAGCGCTGGGGCGCCGCCGCGAACTGAGGCCCAGGGCGCTGGCGGCGCTTCGCGAAGCGCGAGCCCCCCCCCCCTCTAAAAAACAAAAAAAAATCACCCAGCGCGCGGCCGCGTTGGCGCGCTAGTTACATGATATGGGCAGACCCGCGTGGCATGGCAACGGCGGCGGGCCCGATGCGCAGCCCCTCAGTGGCGGCTTCCGCGGCGGGCGCGCTGTTCGGGGGGGGGGGGGGCTTCGCACAATTTCTGCCCCCCCCCTTGACGGGGCGGGGGGGGGGGGCTTTGAAACATTTTAACCCCCTTGATGGAAGGCCGCGAGGGGGCGCCAGGAAGACGCGATGTCTTGATGGGGTTTTGATGGCGTCGCGATGGGGTTATGATGATCTTATGATGGGGTTTCGATGGTGTTCTGACGGGTTCCCAATCCAAGGGTAAATATGATGACCTTTTGATGATGCTATGATGATGTTATGGTCATGAAATGATGACCTTTTGATGAAACACGCAATCGCCTTTCGGTCAAGCATGATGACCTTTTGATCGAGTTTTGATCCGGTTATGCTGATGTTTTGATCGGGCGTGGATCAACGGCGCAAGCTCCCGAGAAAATACCGTCGGGATTCTGATAGCAACAGCGGGGGCGCGAGATGTCCGCCATGGTCAGCTGATGGCTCGCGGCCTGAATTGCGCGCGCACGAACCGTCGGGCCATGGCCGCGCGTCATGGTCGGGGCCGCGCAGCCAGCGGCCCGCTCGCGCGCGCGTCCCCGATCGGGCTCGACAGGCGTGCCGCGCCGCGATCGCGGGGGCCCAGCGACGGCGCGCGGCGGGCCCCAGGCCGACCGCTCGCCCGACCCTATGGGACAAACCCCGCGCCGCGGACAACGGCGCATGCAGACGCGACCGTAGGCAGCGCCCCCCCATCCCTTGGCGCCTGCGCCTGCGCCGCATCCCTGCCGAAGGAGATTGCAGGGCAGAAGAAAAGGATCTCTCATGCAACTGAATGGACCGCCGCCCCCTGAAAGGAAAGGACTGACGCCTCGGGGGTTGGCCGCCCATCCCGACGCGCGCGTCTCCTTCGCGCCAGCGGCGCGCCTGAATACCAAACCCGCGCACAAGTGGAGCGCGAAGTTGAGGGCCGCGCATCGACCCGCCATTGCGATGCCCGACCATCGGCCCCCGCAAGCGGGCCTCGCGCGGCCAGATCGGGGGCCGCTGGGCAGCCGAGCCGCAGCGGCGCCGCCCAACCTTTGCAGGGCAGCCGCCACGCTGGCCCACCACATGCGCTGGATGTCCCCGATGTGTCCCTGATCGAAGCCCAGCCGCCGATGGCGCCGCCGTTCCCGTCGCTACAACGGCCCGCGATGCGGTGCCGATTGGCGATGGGCGCGGCCGCCGCTTGATCGGAGAACCGCCAGTGAGCGGCGCCCCGACTCGGGGCGCGGGCAGTACGGCAAATGCTAGGCGGGCTGGCCCCTTCCGCCAACTGTCAGCGCATCGTGTTGCGCCGAGCCCCAGCGCCATGGACTGCGCAGCACATGCGGCGCCGCGAAGACAACGTTGGCGCCCCTCTTGCGCGACGGCCCGCGCAGCCGCTCCCCCCGATAGGCCCCGCTCCAACGTGCCAAGCTACCGCGCGACTAACCAGGGAGCTCGCCCACGCAACGACTGCGCGACAAGCCTCAGCGATGCCATGCGCCAGGCTTGGCCGCCCGACGAGCAGCGGCGCCGATGCGCCGCAGCCGAAGCGGAACACCGCCGCCCCTTCTGAAACGCGCGGGACCTGAGAGGCGCCGCCGAGGGCCGCCGCCGCATCGTCGCGCGGCGTCGGCGCGCCGCGGAGGCAACCCTGAAGCGGTTTGCAACGACTGCGCGGGCGCGCTGAAACGCTTGCACCAAAGCCCGACGGCGATGGAACCAGCGGGGCGGCGCCCGCGCGCAGCTGTTGATCCATCAACCGCAAGGGGCAAGACGGGGCCGCCACTTGCCAAGGCGCGCGCTCGCGCGACCCTCGACGCGGCGGTCGCGAAACGCAGCCGCGGCCTTCGCTCCGAAGACGCAAGCCACGCCTCTGCCCGCGAGCGAAAGCCCCGCGAACATCGGCCCAGGTGTGGGCGGCTGCATCGCTGACTCGCGCCGCGCACCCGACCGCGACGTTCGGCGCGCCCGCGCCCTGCCAGCCTGCCTTGATCAGCGGCGATGACTGAAAGCTGGGGGGGGGGGGGGCGGGGGGGGGGCGCCAAACACGATGCGCGCATCGTTGAAGTGATGGCCCCGCACACAATGGACGAACCCCTGCGCGCAGCGCCGTTGCCGCCGCGCGCCGCGCAGACTGCCCCGATGCTTGCGCCGCAAAGCGCCGAGCGGGGGGCGTCGCCGCCGCGCGGTTTCGGCGCGCCTCGGGGGCATGGAAGCGCGCGCGCGCCCCCAATCATGGGCGCGAACAAATGGTTCTGCATGGTATTCCACAACGCACTGTAATGAGACGGCCCGAACCGCGCCCAGAACGCCGCTTGCGCGAGGGGGGGGGGGGGGGGGGGGGCATGGGCGAAGCGCGGCAACCTCAACCGCGGCGCGCCGAAACCTCGATTGCCCCATCACCGACGCAAAGCATCTGCCGAAAAAACATGGCGACGGGGCGCGCAGTCGCTTGCCCAACGAAATCGGCCCGCAATGAACCACCATCGAACATCGATCGGGGCGCGATAGCGTGCGCCGCTGGCGCGCGGCGATTGCCGCAGCCATGGCGCGTCCGCGCGGGCGCCAACATCGCCAACGTAAACCAGATTGCGTCGGCTGGCGTGTGTAGACAACGCCATCAGCCCGCGCTCGCGCGAGCGCGCGAGCCCGCGCGCCCATGTGCCTTTCGGCGAACGCCCAGCTCTGCCATCGCGCGAGTGGGCGCCGCGATGGCCGCGACCAGGGCTGGCGCGCGCGTCGCAACTGCCGAGGCGCGGCGCGAGGCCGCGACGATCCAGAACACACTTCGTGAGACAAGAGCCATTGCATATTCAATGGTCGCAACATGATGGCCCGCGCCCCGCGTCGGCGAGACGCCGGCGCCCGCTTCGCTGGCGCGCGCGCGCGCGGCAAGCATGTACCCCGCCCTTGGCCTGGCGCGCGGCAGTCGTCGCACCGCGAGCGCGTGGCGCGACGTGCGCTCGGACGCGCGACCGCGCGCGCTTCGCCGTCTACAACGAGGAACTTCGGTTCTGCTGTTGGCGCCCACCCCCGCGGGCACATTGATGGCGAACGCGCGCGGGCAAAGCGGCGGCGCGAGGCCGTTGGACGGCGCGCCTTCGCGCGCGGCGCAATCATAATCTGACGCTGGAGCGATGGCGAGGCGGTCGCGCGCAGACGGCGAGCTGCACGAATTTGAAGCGTAATTGCATTAGAAGAAAAACAATGCGCGGCCCTGGCAATGCACCGGCGCGCGTCTACGCGCGCGCGCGGGGGGCTGAGCGCAAGCAAGCCGCCGCGCGGCAAGCAGCGCGACAAGACGTAGTCGGGCCGCGCGGGCGCGCCCCAACGCGCGCGCAATTGTGCGCGGACCAGTCGGTCAATTTAGGCCGCGCTCGCGGTCGGAGCCGCCGCGGCAAAGAAACAACCGAGCGCGTGCGAGTGTGTATGCGGCCGCAAATGCGACCATGAGGCGCGACGCCAATCGGGCATGCGCTTTCGTCACGACGCCGATGTCAACGGCGCCATCTTCGCCCATCGCGGCGCTGGACGAAACCGCATTGCTAGGCCGAGCCTGCGCCAGTGGGGGTCCAGGCGCAGGTAACGCATTACTATGTTAAGGTGCTGTCCCCCCCCCCTCCCCCTCCCCCTTCTCGCCCCCCACCCCCCGCCCCTCCCGCATCCCCCCCCCCCCCCCCTCGTCCGCCTCATCATCGTCCCCCTCCTCATCGCCCGCCTTCTCAACCTCCTCCTCCCGATGGGGGCCCATGCATGATAGGACCCCCCCCACACATCCACCACCACCACGCACGAACGCACGCACACACACGCACACACAAACGCACGCACGCACGCACGCACGCGCGCACGCACGCACACACACACACACGCACGCACGCACACACACACACACACGCACACACACACACACGCACACACACACACACAGACACACACACACACACACACCGACGCGGCACAGTGTCGGGCCAAGACACGCGTGCGCCACAAACTTGTGAACAAGCTGGGTGCGCATGGCGGGGGACAGAGGGGGTAGTACATGGCGCATCCGCACCTGCATTGTCTGCACTCTGTTCTGCACTGATGGCAATGTACTTCATCGGGCACGGGTGGCATGCTCAGGAATGCGCTGTTGCGCATAACGCAAGCAAGCCAAGCACGATAACTCGACGACATCCCCTTGACAATCGGCGGCTTGCAATGGGGGCCAGGGGGCCCTGGCCGCACATGGAATTCCACACTCTACCACCTACTCCGAGCTACTCCGTGGATTGGCTGGAAACCACATGGGGGGCAGGCGGATCTGAGCCCGAGAGGGCTTGAAAGCACATATGAGACAATCGCCGACGACCCATGCGCCCGAAGACCCCATGGAGAAGGGCTGGCGCAGGAGGAGGAGGAAGAGGATGAGGGGGAGGAGAAGGATGAGGATGAAGACCTCATCCTCGTCCTCATCCTCCTCCTCTCCTCCTCCTCCTCCCCCTCCTCGTCCTCCTCATCTTCGTTATCGGCGTCATCATCAGCATATTCTTCACCATTATCCTCCCTCCTCCTCCTCTTCATCCTCCGCCTCCTCATCATTCTCCTCATGATGCAACAATTGCGGTGCTGTTGGTGCTGTCGGGCTCGTCGGGCTCGCCGCCCCTCGGCTGCCGCCCCCTGTCAAGCATCCCCCTCCAACACGGGTCTGCCAGGGCCTGGGCCTTCAGCCGGTCTCGAGCCCTGCGCCTAGCATCGATCGTGGGCTCCCAGACGCGGGCGCGCCTGCATTGGGCGTCGACCCATCCTGGGAGCCCGCCCAGCCATGCAGCCGTGAGGGCAAGCGGCCTGCCTTGCCCAGCCCTGCCCGCAAATGGGATCCCCCGAGCTGTTCGGGGCAATACGCAGTTGCCAGCCGCGCGGTGGGAATCGCAATGGCACTCGGAAGTGAAGCGCCGGCCGCTGGCATAGTAGCTGACTTCGCCACCAGGCACTGCCATCCGCTTCCTTGGCTTGGGCGGCGGCGGCCTCAACTCCCAGACGTCTGACTCCAAGGGCGGCGCGTCCAGGATTCGCTGCCGCCACGGCTGGCACACTGCAGCCCTGCGGCTGTCTGCGACCAATTCTTGCACCCGAATGTTGATCGGCTGCTTGATCCACGCCGTATCGAAGCACTGGCGGACGACCTGGAACACAGTCAAGTCACGCATGCAGCGACCGCCATCGCCTGCGCCGACGAACTCGGGAGCGACGCCATTCAATCCGTAGCGGTCCTCCAGCGGCTCCAAGCGCATGCGGGTAAACGTCGGCCTCCAGGGTTTCCCATAGTGAAGGACGACGTGGTACAGCCTCTCAGCTCCTTCGGCATGACCTGATGGGGCGAGAGCAGACCCAGGGGCAGCGTCTGAACTCGGCGCTGGGCCATGGGCCGCTGGGGCGCCCGCGCGCGCGAACCTGAGCACCAGCGCGCCATCGCCCAGCTTCGCGAGGAGCACCTTCTCACCCAAGGTGCGTGACAGGACGCGCCAAACAACCTGCAGCTGGGCGTGGGACCTTGGGCCACTGCAAATGCAATAACCCGCCTCCCAGCACATGCGACGCGGCCTGGTGGGCGCGCCCAGCACGGGGCATTCCGCCTCGGCGGTGTGCTTGCGAAGCTTCGCCCACTCGTTGGCCTCCCGCTCGATGGAGCTAATGTCCAAGGCCCGCAAGGCCTCGGCAAGGATTGATGACGGCGTCCTCGTGCACTGCAGCGAAGGGACCATGCGCCGCTGCACCGCCAAGCCAGCCGCGGGGGAGGCGGGCGCGCCCCCCGCCGCCAGACTCCAGTCTCGCCCAAGCCCTGGCGATTCGGCGCCCGACTGCTGATGCAGACGCGCGGCCGCCGCCCTGACCTCGCCGGCGCCCCTCTTGACCTTGGCCTTTTGCGTCTTCATGTCGACCAGCGCGCCCTGGAAGATGACGTTGTCGGAGACGAACGCGCCCACGTCGAACACGGGCATCGCGCCGCTGCCGTGATCCACGGGCGCGGCGGCGCCGCGCGCGACCACTCTGCGGCCCGTGCCACTCGGGGCCCCCCCGCGAGAAGCCCTCGCACTGGGCCCGAAAGCCCGCCGACCAGCTAAGTGCTCCTGGATGGCGACTGCCGCCGCGTCCTCGCAGGGCTCGCGCAGCTCGGGGGAGAGGCTGTGAAAACGCGCGGAAAGCTCAGGCCCGAGCGATTGGTCTATGGGCGCCCCGCCGGCCTCCATGTGGACGAAGGCTCGCCGCACCCATGCATTCTTATGCTGTGGTCGTCGGGAGCGCTGGGACTGCAGAGACCGCCCCCGCCTGGCCCCGCCGCTCGCGCAGTCGCCCCAGCGCCGAAACACAGACCGCTGCCATTTCCACGCCCGGCGGAACAAGAAGAAGCCCGACAGAGACATCGCGCCAATCCCCCATGCAAAATGCTGCGACTTGCCCCGCATAAGGTTCTCGCTGCGCGAGCGCTCGGCCGCGGCGGAGTTCGTCTGCGTCAGGGGCAGCGCGCCGGCAAGCTCGGACCTCGCCATGCCGCCGTCGGCGCCGCCTCGCTCGCTGTAGTAGTTCATGAAATCCTCCGTGTACGAGTCGAGGGTGCACCTGGGCGCGCGCCCCAGGTCACGGAGGTCCTGCGGGTTGCGCAGGCTGCCGTGCATGATGCACGGAGTCTTGCTGTGTCTGACTTCCACCAGCTCGCATGCGCTCGCCGAAATGCGGGGGCGCAACGTGAACAACTGGAGCTGCTGGACCTCCGCGGGACTGGAAAGTAACTGCCACCTGTCATTGAATACAAGCTCGCCGAACCGCTGCCGAACGCGCTTGACATCCTTGCAATCGGCCGCCTCCCAGAGAGGATACGTGCGCTGCCCCTGCTCGAGGAGCTCCTGTTGCTGTTTCAGCCCCCATTCGACGCCACTCCGCTCCAGCTCCTTCAGAATCATCTCGTCGCAAGGCTCGCGGGGGCGGGTGAAGACGCGCGGTGCGTCGTGCGAGAGTCCGCCCATGAGCTAATCTATAGCGCTGGAAACCTTAGCTACATTGTCCTCCCTGCAAACACTGACTCTGATGACCTTCTCCGCGTCGCCGTCGCCGTTGACCATGCCGAGGTCGCCGCCCTGCCCATCGCCAGCTCCAGCTGGATCGCCAGCGGGCTTGTACGCGCGGTTGAAAAAACAACAAGGAAAGCGGGCGGGGGGGGGCGGGGGCGAAAGAGGCGACGCCGAGCCCACCGAGGCAAAGGCGCGCACCTGTCCAATTCTGCCTGTCCATGACATGGCCCATGTGCTTCGTCAAAGCGCGCAGGCCACATGTCTGCATCAAGTACAGCGTCTGCCCCCTGGACTTGCAGCGCCCCGTGCGCATGTGCTCGATCCTGCCTGAACACCGCAAGTTGCCATTCCATAAGCCCTGCACCAATCGTCGCCGAAACCTATCGCTGGATGGCCGAACTGGGAGGAACGCGTCATACACGCGCTGGGCGTACGAAACGTCGGCGCCCCCCATCGGGCCGCCCTGGATGATGACGAGTTGCTCGGCAAGGACGTCTCTCATCGCTTTCATTGCCCGAGGCATGTTGGCCCTCCTGACAAGGTGCATGCGGATGATCATCGTGTCGGCCGGCTTCTGGACCGCGCGCCCCAAGCTCGCAGCCTTCGCCTTCTTGTGAGTGCCGCAGAACATGTGAAGAAGGGCCGACGGGCGCGAGGAAGCAGCTTGGCGAGCATTCTCATACCGAATATTGCTGCCAGCCTCATCGGTCATGACGAAATCCACGCCCCTGAGAAACGTGCGTTCCAACTCCAGATCGACGCTGCGCTCGAGGTGGGCCAGCGCCGCGTTGGTGGACTCCGTTCTCGCCCCATCTGACGTGTGGAGCCCCGTCGGTTTTCTCACCATCAGGGTCAGGAGCTTCGATTTCGGCTGGCCCCCCCTTCATCAAATAAAATGCCCGCGCTGCACTAGCCACATGCACCTCGTACTTGGCAGCTGAAGGATCGATGAAAGAGGTGGCCTTGACTCGACCGACGCACTCACATTGCCGACGACTCTCACGAGCTGCTTCGTCCCGTCGTATGAGCGACAACGAAAGTGAACCAGAGGACCGAGCGCAGCTCCAGGCCCAGCGCCGCCTCCGCCAGCCCGGCATACTGCTAACAATGACCTGGCGAAGCGCTCGAACGTGCCGCGCAGTGCCCTGAAAGTCGCGCGGCTGATGGCGTCGCAGGTCTCGTGCCACGATGCTGCAGCCACGCCGCACTCACGGCGAAGCTTCTCCGCAGTGGCCAACGCCGTCGACCTGTGCACCGCAGTGCCTAGCAAGAACGCTGCCACACGCGGCACTCCAGAAACCAACATTTCCGATGGCAGCGGCTGCAAGCGTCGAGCGGGCTCCTGACCAGCCTTCGACAAGATATGGCTATGGCGGCCGCGCTTCACCACGGGTGGGGGTGTGTAGGCGGCCGCCGCGGTCAGCACGAGCACGCTGTCCAGACTCGGCCCGTCGCTCTCGGCCGCTGCCTGCCGAGGCCCGCCCGCGACGACGAGCGGCTCGTCGTCGCTGTTGCAGGCGAAGAATTCCTCGTCGCTCAATGGCTCGGCAGCGCGGGGGGCGAGCTCGACATCCGCCAACAAATCCTCATCGCCACAGGGGCCACTCGAAGACTTGGCACAAAAGTCTTCGTCCGACGAGCTGTCGTGGGACATGCCAGAAAAGGCAAAATGCACTGAGCCAAAATATTACAAGTTAGAACAAACGAAGGGGCAGAGGGTGGAGCTCGGCTAGAAGTTCCCTTGGGGCGATGTTTTCCTAGGGCCCGTGGATCCTCGCAGGGGGGTGCAAAAAAACGTGTTTCCCTCGGGCGGCGGGGGGGGGATCTCATCAAACCTACGCTCTACAGCCCTTTCTATAGCTTCACGATTGGGCGATTTTTTTTTTTTTTTTTTTTTATTAATAGGGCCTGTGGATCCCTGCAGGGGGGGCGCAACAAAAATGAAATAATGATAATCCTTCGGGCGCTGGGGGGAGACCTCATCAAACCTGCGCTCTGGAGCCCACCTACATATTGCTCTACGATTGGACGATTTTGGGCTAGGGCCCATGGATCCCTGCAGAGGGTGGGTGGAACAAAAAAAATAAACTCATCTCTCGGGCGCTGGGGGGTGACCTCATCAAACCTACGCCCGGGAACCGCCCTACGAGCCCTGCGCTGTTGCTGCGTGAAATGCTGCGTGCAACTCGCGCATGCAACGAAATGCCGCGTGCAACGCGATGCTGCACGCAATGGAAGACAGGCAAATGTTGTATGCAACGCGAATGTGAGGTACGATAGAATATGGGTGTTCAACAAGGGGGGAAACTGTGAGGATCTAACTTTTCTCGGGCCGAGGCGCACCCCACCAAACCCTGACCCAAGAATCTCGCAGCCTTTGGCGATCCACCGAAGGGGCAACCCCAGGGACCTCATCAGAACCCCATCGGAACCCCATCAACCCCAGACCCTGGGGGGAGGCCCGACCCGAACTACCAACCCAAGAGGCCTCCAAGATGCGTCCCAAGAGGGTCCCTAGACGCAAAAATTGGCCCATTCCCTTCGTAAAACATACAATGTTCACACATTCGCCTTCTGGGTTTTCCGATGCTCTCAGACGGCCCAAGAGGACCCCAATACCGCCCCAAGACGGCCCAAGAAGCCCCCAAGAGGGTCCCAAGATAGCCCAAGCGGGCCCCAAGACAGCCCCAAAGGCGTCCAAAACGGCCCAAGAGGGCCCCGAAAACGGCCCCAAGAGCGCCCCAAGTCGCCTCCCAAAGGGCTCAATATGGTCCCAGACGGTCCAAGAGCAATTAGAGACACCGAAAATGGCCTCCAGCGGTCCAAAATGCTCCCAAAAGGCCCCAAGAGGCATCCAAGATACGTCCCAAAAAAGGCCTCTAACCGGAAAAATTGGCTCGTTTCCTCGGTGAAGCGTAATTGTTTAACACATTCGCCTGTTGGGCTTTCCGACGCTCCCAGACGGCCCCACAAGCTCCCAAAACCGCCCCAAGACGGTCCAAGAAGCCCCCAAGAGGGCCCCAAGACAGCCCAAGAGGGGCCCAAGACGGCTTTAGAGGCGGCGAAGACGGCCCAAGAGAGCCCCGAAAACGGCTCCAAGAGCGCTTCAACTGGCTCCCAAGAGGGTTCCACATGGTCCCAGACGGTCCAAAAGCGATCAAAGACACCCGAGATGGCCTCCGGATGGCCCAAGACGCCCCCAAGAGGCCACCAAGGTGCGCCCCAAGAGGGTCCCTAGACGCAGAAATTGGCCCATACCCTCGTAAAACGTATAAGTTTTACACATTCGCCGCGTGGGCGCTCCGACGCTCCAAGTCGGCCCAAGGAGGCCCCGAAACATCCCCCCAAAAAACCCAAGACGGCCCCACGACGGCCTAATATGGCCCCAAGGGGTCCCCAGACGGCCCAAAAACGCCCCCCGACGGCACCAAGAGGAGCCGAAGAGGGCGACCGAAAATTCAAAATTCTACTTGTCCGCCCCCAGGAGCCCCAGGGAGGCCGAAGAGTGCCCCAAGAGGCCGCCAGAGGCCCCCAAAAGGCGGCCAAAACGCCCCAAGGAGCTCCAGAAAGCTCCCGAAAGACTCCCAGAGCCTCCGAAACGGCTCCCAAGTGGCGTCCAAATTGCCTTCCAGAGGCTCCCGAGAGGCGCGCCGCGAAAACCCGATACACATACAAACGGCCTCCAACCCATAACCCATAACCCAGGGTTTCTTCTCTGTGCCCCCCTCCTTCTCCTCCCCCTCCTTCTCCGCATCGGCCCCCTAGGCCCCCGAGAGGCGGCGTCAAAACTGCCTCCCACGAGCCCTCGAAAAGCGCGCCACGAGATCCCGATAGACATGCCAGAAGCCTCTAACCCGTAACCCGTAACCCAGAGCCTCCTCTCTGTGTCACCCTCCTTTTCCCCCCTCCTCCTCCACCTCGGCCCCAAGGCTCCCGAGAGGCGTCCCGCGAGATCCCGACGCACATACATGAAGCCGTTCACCCGTAACCCATCGCCCAACGCCTCCTGTGCGTGCCCCTCTCCCCCTCCCCCCCCCCTCCTCCTCCTTCACGGCCTCCTCGCCCCCTCCTCCTCTTCCACCCCCGCCTCATTCTCATCCTCTGCGATTCTCCCCCCCCCCCCCCCATCCTCAGCCCTACCCCCCATCCTTCTCTCCCCGTCTTTTTTTCCCTCCCCAGCACGCGCGCCCGATTGGGCATCATTTGCACGTTTTGCACTTCAGGGTGCCTTTTCTTTTCGTCGCGCGCGACATGGGCAGGGTTCGCGGAAAAGGCCGCCTTCGGCAGTCTTCCCTTGCACGCGCCGCTGCACTGATACGCCTGGCAACTGCGCGCTGCGAGCCCGGGTTCCTTGCAGCCTCCGCGCGCAACTTTGGCTCCTTTTCGCCTTTCGGCGATCCTCCACTTGATCCTGCTTCAAATGTTTCGTGTCCGAGAACTCTCCCCCGCACGCTGCGCACGTCAGCGGCTTCGTGTCCGCCTCCGCTTTCCCTTTTGCGACCCCCTGCTTCGCATTTCGTCCGCAAAGCCGCCTTTTCCCGCCCTTCCGCGCACTTCCGACACAACCTCTCCCCCGCTGCGTTGTGCCTCTTTCAAGCTTCCGACATATCCACCTTTTCGTCGCGCAGCGACAGGCACTTTTCGTTCGCACATCGCACAGTGCCGACGCTCTCGTTCCACGTTGCGCTGCCGCTCCGCGATTTCTGTTCGGCTTTGACATGGCTGCATTTCGCGCAGAGCATTGTCAGAATCCTTTTCGTCCCCCCGCCGTCCGGCGCTGCATCCGCGCCCCGACCGCTACCATGTCGACTCGCACGGTGACCCTCAGCTGCCGTTGCCCACCCTTTGCACGTTGTGCATCATTTTTCGTCGCCGTTCTTCATCTCTTCCGTGCACTCTTCGCAGAACGCTGGCCTTTCCTTCCTCTGGAACTCGTACTTCGTGACCGCCTCTCCCAGCAACCTCCGCCGGCAGCGCTCGCACTGAGCCCTGGGCATCAGTTCCTCCTCCTCCTCCCCCTTCCCCCTCCCCCTCCCCCTCCTCCTCCTCCTCCTCCTCCTCCTCCTCCTCCTCCTCCTCCTCCTCCTCCTCCTCCTCCTCCTCCTCCCCCCCTCCTTCCCCCACCCACCAGCCGGAAGATGTCGGAAGAGACACGAGGTCGACAGGCGGTCAAATTAGATCAGGCCTCGGCCCGTCCACGTATGAGATGCGGTGAGCGCAGGGAGCCAACGATTCTCGGAATAGGGTGAGGAGGATGAGGCCAGACCACGACCCGATGCGCACAACGCTCCGCAGAGTTCTCCTGTTTGTCCTGGGAAACCACTTCGTGGACGACCCGTGGAAGCTTTCGGATGAAACTTTTCCTGACATGAACGGGACTTGCAGCATCATCGCGATCAAATGTAGTATAGGCGAGCTCTCCGAGCGCTCGCAAAGGATACGTATGGACACGCGCCCCCCGAACGTTCAGAAGCATATTCCTGTGTATCCTCACCACTCCTCCGCATGAGGAAGACGACGGCGAAGACGACGAACGGGGAAGAAGGGAGAGGAGGAGGAGGAGGATGAGGAGGAGGAGGGGAGGAGGAGGAGGAGGAGGAGGAGGAGGAGGACGACGAGGAGGAGGGGAGGAGGAGGAGGAGGAGGAGGAGGAGGAGGAGGAGGAGGAGAAGGAACAGCATCAGCAGCAGCAGCAAAAGAAGAGGTGAAGAGGAGGAGGGGGAGGAGGACGAGGAAGAGGAGGAACAGGAACAAGAGGAGGAGGAGGAAAAGGAGGAAGAACAGGAGGAGGAGGAATTGGAGGAGAAAGAGGAGGAAGAGGAAGAGGAGAAGACCCACGAGGAGGAGGAGGAGGAGGAAAAAGGAGAAGTAGGAAGAAGGCGAGGAGGAGGAGGAGGATGATGAGGAAGAGGAGGAGGAGGAGGAGGAGGAGGAGGAGGAGGAAGAAGAACAAATGGAGGACGAGGAGGAGGAGGAGGAAGAGGAGGAGGAGAAGGAAAAGGAGGAAAAGGAGGAGGAGGAGGAAGAGGAGGAGGAGGAAGAGAAAATTTTGGGAGGATGTCTCGAGCGAAACGCTGAGTGTTCAACGAAAGTGTTTAAAACACATGGGTTTTTCAATATTTTCGCTTCTTGGGCCATCTTGGGGGTCATCCGAGATCGCTCCGAACTGATGCCTTACAAGAACTTTGTCGGCATCCCATTTGTTCGAGGATGTCTCGGGCGAAACGCCCATTTTCGAGGATCCGAAAATTAGGCGAGCGATTTCGAGATCCACATGTTTTGGAGGATGTCCCGAACGAGACGCCCAATTTTAGCAAACGACGTCTTAAGCTACGACCCCCAACTTCACGATTTTGGGAGGATGTCTCGAGCGAAACGCTCGTTTTCAAAACCTTTCCTGACATGAACGGGAAGCGCGTGAAACGGAAGAGTTGCGCAAGAACTTGCAGCATCATCGCGATCAAATGTAGTACAGGCGAGCTCTCCGAACGCTCACAAGGGATACGTATGGACACGCGCCCCCCGAACGTTCACAAGCATATTCCTGAGTATCCTCACCACTCCTCCGCATAAGGAAGACGACGGCGAAGACGACGACGGGGGAAAAAGGGATAGGAGGAGGAGGCGGAGGAGGAGGGGAGGAGGAGGAGGAGG